GGGGGGGGGCAGCGGGGACCGCTGACCGTGACAGAAACTAAATTATGTTCTCTTAATCATGAAAGCCTTTCTTTTAATTACACTGCACAAAGAAAATCTTTTGACTTACAATCATTCATTCAACCTTTATTTAGTCACATTGAGCCTTGAAGACTCATTTACAAGTGAGACCTGTTTGGACAGACAATAAAAGTGGTAAACTGGACACATGTAGGAATTGGAGGTGAAAAAAAATCCTATCCGATTTTGTCTTCCTGCCTGACAAGAAAATCTCTGATATTAAAAAAACACCTCACACAAACAAGCACATAGTGACGTAGACATTCTGCAGAGGGGGACGATGAGAGCGATGAGCAATGTCCATGGATGCTCTCGAGGGCACTGTAAGAGTTCTGATAAGAATGGAATAATCAGTCAATGTCCTCCAGTGAGATCCGTAAACATTCTTGTGGTATGTCAAGGAATGGCCAAGAATAACATTTATGAGAATCCAAGAGTCCTGAAATGATGACACAATGTTTATTCGGCAGGTATCATCTGGTTATCAGTTGGAAATTCCTGAGGGAGGAGGTGGTGAGCATCAGATCACATTTTCTCCAGGCGAATTCAGATAAGATGGCCTTCAAGGCCAGCCAAGGGAGCCAAATTCAGATAAACACACAGTTGTTTTGGGGACAGGCAGAACTTAATGACATCTACCTTGAGTCTGTGTTGGTCCACATGGTTCTGAAATGTCCAAATTACATGGCCACACCAATGAAATGTGACTGAGTAAAATCCCCAAGATCTGATCCATTCTGCTCAAAGCATTTGAGTCTGGGTACTTGAGGCACGGACCAAGCCATCATAAAGGGGGGGGGAGGGGGGGACTAATCCAGATCAAGTGGTAGCCATTGCAAAGGTCGAGTTTTGTAAAGGACTTTGCTGAATTCAGATACTCAAAAACAGAGTCCATGAAAGGTCAGGGGTATTTGATCTTTATTGTCATTTGGTTGAGTCCTCTGTAGTCTATATAGGAAGTAGAGTCTTGTGCTTCTTCTCCACAATTAAAGACCTAGCACTCACCGGAGATGGGGAGAGGCGAATGATACCTGAAGATAGAGAATCATCTACGTAATGTTTCATGGTTTCTCTCTCAGGACCTGATAGCTTTTACATTCAATTACATAGAAGTGGGGTTCCAGGTAGTAAGTCAATGGCACAGTCATAAGGGCGACGTAGTAGAGACAGGGCCTTTTGTTTACTGAAAACTAGACCGTTCATGTTGCATAGATGGAACCTTGGATAATTCTGGATCCTCTGACACAACCTGATACTTCTGAGAAATGGAAAGAGCAGAATTTAAACATTTGGCTAGGCACTGGGCACTCCAACTTTCCACACTGTTATCTGTCCAATAAATCACAGGGTCGTGTCTCTGCAACCAAGGAAATCCCAAAATATGTGATGTGGGAGCAGAAGAAGAAGAAGAAAAAAAACTCACCCTGTTCATGATGATTGCCTGAGATGACCATATGAATATTCTCCATTTTATGGGAGAGAGTAGAGATGGTTTGTCCAGTGAGGGTGGCCACCGACAGGGGATGCTGGAGGGGAACATTACATATTTGTAATTGATCAACCAGTTCCCGACTGATTAATTTTTTTTTGGTGCCAGAGTCAATGAGAGCTTGCATGGCAAGGTTGAGATAATTTCCACTCACATGAGAAATGTGGTCCAGGGGAGCAAGAAATCTTACCCACCAGTATCTCCTATATTACTGGTGTGTTCTGGCTTTTAACAGCAAAGGCTAAGAAACAATAAAGTGTACAGACATTTTTACAGGCATGTACAGGTACATTTTCATTAACCTTTAGTCAACCAGGAAAATCCCATTGAGATCACAGATCTCTTTTGCAAGGGAGGCCTGGGCCTGAAGGCAACCTAACATGCATGTTTTTGTTCTGTGGGAGGAAACCGGAGTATCTGGAGAAAACCCACGCAAGCACAAGAAGAACATGGAAACTCCACACAGAACGACCCCAGGTCCAACCAACGATTGAACCAGGATTTTCTTACTGGGAGGCAAGAGTGCTAACTATTAATTAATTGTGCTGCCATGATGTCATAATGTCCTTTTTTCAGATTAAAGTACATTTTGCATTTCATTTGGAAATCAAGGTCCCAAAGTTTGGAGGATAAGTGAAGAGGCATTGCTTGCAGTATAGTGGGAAGTTTCTAGTCTGTGAGTATTTGGTGCCATCCCATCTGCTGGTGTTGGTCCAGCTCAGGTAAGGCACTTCTGACACCATCTCTAGTCTAGGAGCAGCTTGAATTGAGGAATTTGACATTTGTGGCTCATGTCTAGGATTTGTCTGTGCAGTGGTATGCATGAGTCCCTAATATGAAACTTTATCACTATGCTCTAATTTTCTTAGACACTGAGTTTTGGATTTCCATTATCTGTCAGCCATAACCATCAAAATTACAGGAAATAAAGGCACGAAATATTTCACTGTATGTGTAATAAATTTATATAATAATTGAGTTTCACTTTCTGAAGACACTGACAAAACATATTGAACTTCTTCACTATATTCAATTTTTGTTTTAGATATACCGGTACCTGCAGATCTGAGACAATGGGTTGTTTATTGCAGTGAGAGATGCAATGCCTTTACCTAAGTTTTTAATTACAGTTTTTGAGGTCAAGTAAAACCTTTCTTATACCTCCCGTAAACTGCAGCCTTCCTGCTTTTCATTTTATGCACAAAGATCCCTCACTCCCACTCCACCACCCCATTGAGTGCTCTTATCTTTGAGTTTATCTATTATCCATATCCATCAGTATCAATCACTCAAGCCATAACAGCTCCCCTGTCCACAGCCACACACAGGCTCAGGTACACGCACACCCAAAACTCAGACACACGTCGCTGGTGGTGAACAGACTGTCCGTGAGGTTTTTACTGTCGTGTGTGAGTCTCTGACACCTCTGTGCTCAGTCTATTGATTTTGTTGTCTCGCCCTAACGAGTCTTGCATCATCCATCACTGCTACGCTTGCAGCACTCAGCTGGTTTGCCCGACTCAGAGGACTGAATTAAGCTGGGACAGCCTCTATCACCTTGCCACTCGTTATATATCAATGAGAGTTTTCCTGAAAACCATTTTTGAGAGGCGTGAACAGTAATAAAAAGAAAAAAAGCGGCTCGCACATCTGTTTGAGATATGCGATGTGAGGAGCTGGAATGGGATAAGTGCATCCTGACATGATTTCAGGCCCCCTAACTGCTCACGTATGACCCTGCAGGCTCTTACCTTCAACACTGGCCTTTTAGGCTCTGTTTGTGTGTTGGTAAGAGCGTGCATGTTGTGCAATCCCAAGTGCAGGTGTTGACCACGGTGATGATGGGGATGTTAGAAGGCAGCTATCACCCATTACTTACACCTCTTGGAGTATATATACAGAGTCAAGATGAAACACATCCATTCACTGAAACTCCTTTAGTTCCAGCATCCCTTCACCCACTCAGCCATTAGGAGGGATGTTGCCATGTTTTAAGCCATCATGGACTCCAAATGTGTTCTGACCTTGACCTTCACCACGCGTTAATACATTCTGAAAGTGTTGGAAACTAAAGGGATTTCCAACAAGGCAAACAAACGTTATTCTATATTTTATAATGAAACTAAACAAGATAAAAAATGGAAAATCTGCTGCCAGCAGTTCATTAGGGTCAATGTGGTAACTGAACACCTGTATCTTTCACTATCTGCATTCTTAATAAGACAGGCGGATAGAAACATAATAGAACGTAAGCCTCAAACATAAAGTCACTGTACAAGTGAATTCAAGAAAGTAAACAATAAGAGCAGAAGCTTTGGTTTGACACATTTCAAGTTGTATGTGTCTCCAATAGTTTACATACAGTGGTTTATATAACAAGTTAGAAACACGAGCGGCTTCGGATGTTATTAGTCCATTAAATGGCCGTTATTAGTTGTTATCATCCCTATATGTAGCGGTCAAACTGTCCCACCTACCTCCTAGTAGGTTTAAAGGTACGTTATTATCGTTATTATTGCTGATAATAGGCAGTGTCACACGGAGGTAAATCAGGAAGTGTCTTTTTAGTTGTTTTCAGCTTATGTAACCCTTTTCCTAAACGTAAGCTTACACCTGACTCTGAGGACCAACCCTAAACTTAACCCCTTTACCCTTGTGCCTAAACCTAACCAAGACCGTAAACCTAACCGCCAGACCCTTTACTGTAAACCTAACCACGTGAAGTAATTATGAGCGTTAACAAAGGTAAAAATAGAGCCTATTATCATCGCTAACGA